TAGACTAGACTAGACCAGACTAGACTAGACTAGACTAGACTAGACTAGACTAGACTAGACTAGACTAGACTAGACTAGACTAGACTAGACTAGACTAGACTAGACTAGACTAGACTAGACTAGACTAGACTGCAACTTAGTATAGCATAACACAGTATATTGTAAAAATCGATATAGCAGATAGTACAATATACTATGATGTACTTGAGTTCTGTAACTGTAACGTAACATAGTATACTATATAGTGTACCATGGTACAACATATTCCAAGCGAAAGCATAATGTAGTAACATCTGTTGCAATATAGCCACGAAGCCAGTGAAGAGCAAGCACTAAGCCCATATGTAGATTATGGGCAACTCAAAATATGATCAAGCAAAGCTGCAAATGACATCATAACACACTGAGTAGAACTAGTTATGAGCATTCACGGCATACAGTAGTGTTTCCAGATCCTTCTGCATGGGTCTGCTCTGCGACATCAGGGGTTCGACAGGATGATCTTTCGAGAGTTCGCGATGCGTTGAAATGCAGATCGGGCGTAGGTATATGGCAAGTGTTGTGAGTGTTTGTTTCCGTACATATTCCTCGAAGAGCTAGAGCCTGAGCCAATGTTGGAATCTGCAGGCTGCACTGGGCAAAGCCTGGTACTCAGTCGCAGCTCTCATGTTTTGGTGCTTCTCGCGGCGCTGCGACATGTTGCCAGGCACAGAAAAGTCTCGGCGATTCATAGAGCCTCACGCTGCTCCTCTCTGCTCGACGCTGGACTGGAATGGAGACGTTGGCCTTGTACCGGGAGCGCAAAGTGTGCCACGTAGTGTCTGGGGAGCTCCGGCGACCAGAAAACCCTTGCGAGTTGTGCATCGTCAGAGGTCCAAGTCGCTCCACGTGGAAAAAAGGGGATCGGAGCTACTGAGCGCAGCATTCACGATTCACACGAGCAGCTTGGGCCTGTGCTACTGGAGCTTGACATCCCGCGTACGCCCCGATGCCAGTTTATATTTTGGAAGCGAAGTGTAGATGCTAGGAGCAGGGCATGACTGGTCAAAGGCCTGCTGCCCTGTGAAAGGCATGAAGGCCCGTTGCCTGAAAGTGGATGCTTGAGATCGTGAAGAACTGGGAGGGTTGCGGGACAGGTCCCGTGCTGAAGGGCTCTTGCCCAGGAGAGGAATCATGTGCACAGCTTTCCAATAAGCCGACAAGAAGCCTTGCGTTTCCCGATGTGCGAAGGAGCACCGGGACAGTAATCACCAGGCCCGGCCCTTTTGGAAGTCGTTCGAAGTGTAGAACTGTAGACAAGGAAAGCGATGCCGAGAAGCTTTTCAAGGGCTTGGGCGCTCTGCCTGCTCGTGATCATTCAGGCCAGCTGAGTCAGCTAAGATTGATACCCTACGTGCTGAAAGGCTTGCACTTTGCAGTCGAAGACTGGCGGGTGGTGCTTTGAGCCGCGAGCTTTCCGCAGGTCCGGCAGTCGTGGGCATGGATAGCCCTTAAAGATGACGGCATCGCCATGCTCCCTGCCCCGCTGGAAATCAATCCAGCCCGAATCTGAGATCCGCTGTTATCCCAGTTTGAACTTGCTGCCTCGTAGCTCTGAGGCTCCAAAGGGTAGCACCGTCGACTTCCCGCAGGTGATTTTCAGCGCAAGGACGGCGCCAAAGTGGAAAATCACACTTTCAGATGCCGGCACCCAGCTTGAGATCCTTCGGCTGGAGTTCAGCGCCCACTACGCAGAAGTAGAGGCTGCAACTCAAGTGGCTAGCTTACTGCCTGTTCGGAGCTTTGTGCATGTCGATCCGGCGATAGCTCTCTTCGGTCACTCTCGCATTCGCAGCCTTTCCGTGTTGGACTTTGCAGACTTCGACTCGTCTCCGTCTGTTCGAACTGCTGCCTGCCTGGACTTCCGGCCTTCGGTCTTTGGGAGGTCGCACTTTGGGTCGGCCACGTCGGCCTTGGACTTTCTGTGCTCGGGAGCCTTTCTGTCGCTGAAGTCCTCTGCATGCTCGAGTTCCATCGCGCTGACATCCGACCACAGCGATTCTGGGTCGCCTCTGGCACTGCGCAGCCTTGCCTGAGCAGGTCCTGTGCTGCTGCAATTCGGCCGTCAGCGCTTGGGCCCTTCCTTGCTCGCTCCGGACCTCGCCCAACTGGATACTCCTCTGCTGCTACGAAGCCATGCCTGTGTGGGCTCTGTCCCGACTGTGTCGGATCATGTGAAGCCGGCTTCGCCATCGTCCCCTCGAGGGTCTGCCCGATTAGGCGTTTTCCTGCCTGTGATGAGAAGGACGAGATTGGGTTCAACGCTTGTCGTATTGGACTACGCCCAGCCGGAAGCTTCCGCCACGCTGAGGGGCTCGGCTCGGCCGGATGTCCCAGTGTTTGCCTTGCGTTCCGCTTACACCGGGGCATTCTCTTCACTTCGGAGCCACGGTCATTTGGGCTTCACCTCTTCTGCAATGCTCATGTCCCGCTTTGGCTTGAGCATTCCTGCACCGGACAGCTGTCATTCGGGATCCTTCTCATTGGTTCGGGCATCCGTCCGGATGGATTTGTTCTTGCTAGTCCTGCCTCCCGGACATGCTGGTTTTTCGTCGTTGCTGCACGGCTTCACCAGGATGGGAGCCTTCTCATTCCTCGTGGGACTTGGATCCTTGGGCTTCTCCTTGCCTGTTTTGGACCTCAGCCTCTTTGGCTCAGCGTCGCTGCTTCGGAGCTCCGCTCGGATGGGTTCAGCGCTCCCCGCCCCAGCCTTCGCCAGGCCCGAGCCCTTCTCAGCCTTGCGGTCCTTCGCACGCGCGGCTGCGCTGCTGCTGGTTTGTGGGAAAGCATGCCTCGGATCCAGCCCCTTCGCATTGGACTTCTTGCTTCCGGGATTCCTGCTGTTGTCACGTGGCTTGGTACACCTGGACTTGCATGCGCTGGCCCTCGGATTTTCTCACTTTGGCGTGGCGATGTTGCTGCAGCAGCTCGGCAAGGCCGGCGCGTCTGCTTCGGTTTTTGCTCGTGGAAGGATCGCGCCTGTGCCATCGGTCTTGGATCCCGTCCATCTTGAGGCGTTGTCGGCCCCACAGCAGCTCGCTTGCCTGGGTCTGCCACTTCTGGTGTCTGGATTTATGCACCTCGGCAGCCCGCTCTTGCTGCGGAATGTGGGTCGCTTTGGACTTTCGGTGGTGGTGGCAGGCTCTGTGCGCCTGGATGTAAGTCTGTCTATTCTGGATGTGGGACTTTTAGGTTTTACCGTCTTCGCCCGGTGTGCAGGCAGGCCAGAAGCTGCTTTGTCTACTCACGACTACGCTTGCTTTGGTTCTTTGCCCCTGGTGCAAAGCCTGGTCTGTTTGGATTTTCTTCTGATCGTCTCGGATGTGACAAATTCGGGCAGTTCCCCAGCCACAAGGAGTCCCGGCTGTCTTGGCCCAACTGCTTCGGCATCAGGCTTGTCCTGTGCAGGTCTTGTGTCCCCTTTGTCCGCTTCAGAAAGTTCTGTGCTCGATTCGTCAGTGCCGCTTCGATCGCTTGCAAAGCTTGGCACAGCCATGGCCGCTTCGGACCTGGCGCAAGTCGGTATTTCGATGTTCCTACGGATGCTTGGCCACTTGGGAGTGGTTCCTTCTGCCATGGGCTCGAGTCGCCTCGGGCCTGCTTTCTCACCGCCGGTGATCGATATTGTTCACATGGCAAGTTCACCGCTGCCTCAAAGTTCTGCATAGCCTGGCACTGTGTCGCCGCAACTGGATTTTTCACACCCTGCGGCATCCTTGTTTCTAAAGCGTGCCACTCAGCTGGATTTGTTGTCCTCCGCCTTCGGTCGGGCTTGGCTAGGTCTGGCTCTCCCGATTTCGGACACAGTGCGCACGGAGATGCTGCTGCTCCCGAGACGTCCTGTCTGGTGCTCAGTTGCTCGTGTTTCTCACTGTCGGCTAGGCAATTGTTCGTGTTTGTCTGGGGAGGGTCAAGCGAGGGTTTTCAACGCGAAGTTACCGCGACCACGGCTGGCAGGAACATTTTTTGTCAAGCTGCTCAATTCGTGAATATGCTAGCATACTGCATCGCGAACTATGGGAATTCGTGAATATGCTAGCATACTGCATCGCGAACTATGGGAGATGTTGTGAACCATTCATAAGACACCTCTCATGGCTACGAAACTCAGCATCGTCGCATGTACATCAGAAGCACCCAGTACTCATCAGATCCCATGGACCCAGATGACTATGAATCCAGCTTGACATGTCACATCATGTCATATCACATGATATGTACATTGTTGGGCTTCAGCCTTTGACCGAGGCTTGGCTTGGTACTTCCATGGCAATCCTCCAGAAAACCCGGCTTGGGCCCTTGCTGTTTGCGTTGGATGCAGTTCGATCAGACAGTTTGCTTCTCATCAGAAGCTTGACCTGATCAGATTTTGCAACTTCTACTCTGGACTCTGCGAAGCTTGGCATGCTTGCATCCCCTCAGTGCGCTGGCTGCGTCGGCACTTCCACGCTTGCACTTGGCTTGAGCTGCGTGGGACCCGTTTTCTCTTTGTCGGTCGTGGATGGCACATGGCCTGGCTCCCTTCCTCCATCGCAGGGCCCTGGTTGCCTCAGCCTCTCCGTGCTGGTGCCGGGCTTTGCTACTCTCGGCCTCGCACTTCCGATGCACAGCGTCTCGGCCCGACTTGGCCCGATGCTGCTTGTACTTGGCACGGCCTGCTCGGGGAGCGTCTTTGCGATGTTCGTGGCCGACCTTGCGTGCCTTGGTGTTCCCCTTCCGATGCAAAGACTCGCATGTCCCGAGTTGGCTCCAGCTGCTTCGCAAACTTTGCACCCAGAAGCATCCTTGCTTTTGCATTCCTGTGCCTCTTCGGGTTTATCTTCATCTGCCTTCGGAGCCTCCTGCTCAGGTCCACCCCTTCCTGCCCCAGACCTCGTCAGGTTGGGTATGCTGCCATTGATACGGTCTTTCAGTCGTCCGGGAGCCCTCTCGCTCACTTTCGGCATGGGCTGTTCTGATGTATCTCTGGTGACACTGGATCTCTTGGCATGTGGCAGCCTTTTGTCATTGCGGTTGCCCTGCCATCTAGGCTTTCTATCGTTCGTTTCCTCAGTGACTCGTTTTGGCACTTCTTCACCCGCCCTTGATGTCGCTGGACTGGAGTTGTTTCTGCTCCCAAGGAGCTTTGGTCACCTGGGCTTGGTGCCTTCTCTATTCGGATGTGCAGCGGCAGAGACTTCGCCTTCAGTCCCTGATACCGGGTGCTTCGGAGCTAGCCCACTTGTGCGGAACTGCGCTTGGCTCGGGATGTCATCGATGGCACTTGGCATGCCATGCTTCGGAACACCGACCGTGATACTGGAGGTCGCGAGCACCGGATCTTTCCTGCTCATGCAGCGTTTGGCAAGGCTGGGATTGTCTTCAACACTCTGTTCCGCGGCCCGATTTGGATTGATGGCGTTCGTGTCGGATTCCCTGTTCCCAGGTTTTTCTTTCGCATTGCGCAGTTCTGCATGTCCGGGTTCTCCGCTTGCAGTCTTTGGGCCTGCTAGACCGGATACTCTACTGTCTGTAGTCGATCCCAGTGCCGGCTCTACGCCACCTCCAAGGAGTCCTGGCAAATTCGATGCATCTGCCATTGTTTTGTGCTCGGCATGTTCTGGGCTTCCGACACCAGCGATCGATTCTACTGCGCCGGGCATTGTGTTGCCGCTCCGGAGTTCTTCCCGAGTATCTGTAGCTATGCCCGTGCCTGACCTTTCGTGCCTTGATGCGCCGATTCTACTAAGGGCCCCTGCCTGCACAGACCCGCTACTGCTTTCGTTTGCAAGGGCTCGACCAGGTTCCTTCTCTGCTGTTCCCGATGTCGGGATCTCAGGTGCTTTCTTGCTGCCAAGGAACATGTTCAAAGCAGACTTTGTGCTTCCTGTGCTCAGAGTTGCTAGCACAGCCCTTCTGCCGTTGGCATGTGACATGTCGGGGTCAGACTTCTCTCCAACGTTTCAAAGCTTGTCCTGCCTTGGCTTGGCAGCATCATTGGTCGGCTTGGCATGATTGGATGTGCCCTCCTCTGCCTTCGACATGCTGAAGCTTGGCAGCCTATCGTCTGCACGGAACACGATGTGCTTAGGAGTTGGCCTTCTGGTTTCTAGCAGCAGTCGCCTCGACGCCCCGTCGTCGGCTTCTGACTCCGTCAGCTCAGATCCTGTGTCGCCCTTGAAATCTTCGTCATGCCTTGGCACGCCAGTACCAACATTCAGCAGATGTCTGACAGGCTTGCCAGTGTCATGTCTGGACTTTGCCAGCACTGGCTTCCTGCTGGTTCCGAGAGCACTTGGACAGCCTGGTGCGAGCACTCTGGTTCCAGAAAGCTGTCGCCTTGACCTTACTCCGGTGCTGCGGGGCTTCGCTCGACCAGGGTCCCCGATGCTTGTGCTAGACCCGAGCTCGTTCGGCAGCTTTCTGTCGACCCGTTCCTTTGCACGCCTGGATTCCGCGGTGTCAGCCGTGGATTCCTTGTCTTCGGGAAGCTCCCCACCTCCACGAAGCCTGTCTTGGACGGGCTTTGCTGTCTCCGTGTGCAGCATTGGTGTCCTGGGCTTGGTCTTACCCCTCCGAGCATTTGCATGGTCCGGAAGTGGTCTCCTGGTCTTCGGTGGTGCATGCCTGGATTTGGCATCGTTGGTTTCAGGCCGGGCTCATGTGGGCTCGCCGGTCTCTTTGCAAGGTCTCGGTCGGCTGGGAGCCCTGCCTCTAGCATCTTGCCCATTGAAACTTGGGAGCTTGATGTTGCTCCGTGCATTGGTTTGGCTAGACAGCTCCATTTTCTTGGCAAGCTCGATCCGATCAGACATCTTCATGCTGGTTCTTGACTCCAGCTACGCCGGGTCGGCATTGTTGTCGCACAGCTGCTCCTGTCCCGAAGCCTCCCCATCTTTGTGGAGTACTTGTTGGAAGGGTGTCGTCCTGTCTGCTTCAGACTTCGCCCACGGAGGGTTTCCGCCAGTGTCGAGGCATCTTGCAAGGTCAGGCTTTGCTGCATCGTCTTCTGGCCTACAGCGCATTGAGCCGCTCGGCGAAGCCTTGGTACAAGCATTTCTAGAGTGCATTCAATCCAAGGATGCGAAGGTTAGCGAGCCCGTGTTGCAGAGGTCACCCACATCTGCTCCAGACTCCTTGCACCTTGGCCTGCTCCTGTTGCTACGATCCACTGCACGCGGCCCAGCCTCCGAAGAAGCATCGCAGTCACAGAGAGCCGAGCGCTTTTTACACGTGGGCGCCTGAGACCGAAGCCTCCTCGGCCCTGATAGTCCAAGGCCCGCAGTGGCTCAAGCTTGGTAGCGTGTGGTCCGGCCCTCGCGTTGACTTGGAAGTTGGAAACGACTTGTGTAGAACCCCCGGATAGTTGAGAGGCTTCACATGCCCCGGCATGTCTACGTCAGCTTCGGGGTCCTCCGTCATCGGCAGTTCTCCACCTCCAAGGAGTTGCACCCTCGGAGTCAGGGATCGGGCCCGCATGCGCTGGAAGCCCCGGACTGCCCAGGTCGTGCTGCTACTGGTGCATTTCCTTCGATCTTTGGCCAAGCAAAGCCTGATGCTGCCGTCTCAGATGCCTCCACCATCCGCATGTAGGATTACAGAAGCAAACGCCAGCAACCACCAGAGGTGTTGTCACTGGTGTCAGACTCCGCTGGGTGTGGACCAGTGCCGGCCCTAGCCGCCGATCTCCAACGGTTCTCAGCTTTGGCCAGGCCGTGTCCTTTATGATCTAAGAGACTCAATGCCTGAACTCCGTTTGAGGCGATGCCCCTGCAGCGTTCTGCTCGTACGGAGCCATTGGCTCTCGTGCTAAAGCTCTCTTCTCCAGGGCCCGGGGTCTTACCCAAAAAACGGTGAAGAGACAGACTTGCTTCGAGCACGCGTTGAGGTCCGCGCTGCCACCAAGAAGGGCGTCGAGGTGATGTCAGCACCGAAACTGCCACTGCGTTCAGTGCTGCGTGTAGCGCTGGAGATGACGACAGGCTTGGATTCTCTGCTTCGGCATTTGGTTGCGCATGGTTGGCTTCACCAGCTCTGGTGTACCTCAGACAGCACTGACAGACGCCTCGTCCTTAGGACTCAGATTTCCCGGCCGCCGAGGTCGGCCTTTGTGGGCCTGGGTTCCCTGCTGCCACTTCGGGGCTTGGCAAGGCCGGAGAATGGCTCAAAGGCTCAAAGCGCCTCTGACGGCAAACTTAAGCTCAGGCTGGGATCGGTGATGGTGGTTTCGAAGATGCTTGAGCCCAAGATATGGCTGTGCTTTGTGAACGTAGCTGGGCTGTTCTCCCACGAAGGACTTCGGCTGGAACGTTTCCGTTTCTCCGGAGCCACAGCTGGCTGGACTCGCTTCCTCTGGTGCCTTGGCCAGCAGCGTTCCTGCGACTGCAGCAGCCCTCTCTCCACCTGCGACTACTTGTGACACGCCGCCTCGCACTTTTCGACGACGACCTGTACTTGTGTCTCGTACTCTGTCACAGGGTTTTGCTCAAGCGAGGCAAAGAGTCTACAGTGGTACGCAACATCCACTCTCATGAGTCCTGTCTTTTCTGCATAAACCTAGAGTCTCCTAGCATGCAGCGGCTGTGCCTCCAGCTTTGGATTCACATGATCAAGCCAGGCCACCCCCTGGTCCAATTCATCCAGAATCTTTGATAGCTTTCGGATGGCCTGTTCAGTCCGAGAGCCCCCC